TTACGCTGTATCCATAGAAATGGCCCACCCTGTGCTCTGGTAGCAAGTGAACTCTTTCACTGGTCTGTGGCACATTCTGGTTACAATATGCAGTAAACACATGAAGTGAATGGAAAGCATCAGATCAAAATTGTAACAAATCACAGTTTTGTGTTACTCTTGTTATTAATATTAGAAACCTAAACACACAGCACCGTGGAGCAGTGTGACGCTGCATGTTTGGGTCATCAGTTCATCAAACCTCAGCGCACACATGGATCAGTCAACTCATTACTGCACAAACTTCGTCCTCACAGATGGACTGTGAGAAACAGGATGTCGTGTTGGGACCACACCTGAGGCAGTGACATCATGGTCCCAGAGCGGCGCCTCGCTGTGTGTCTGAGGTAAAACAGCATTATGTGACTATTTCTATCTCACTTGAGCCAAACGCAGTGATGTGGTTGGTCAGATACGCTGATTCAGCTCGGTTTGAAACATAAATGCTGCAAATTCTCCCAGGATGCACCTGAGCTGAACAAACTCCATCATCATCCTGATCAAAGACTCGACAAATACAGGATACACTTCACTCCACATGCTGTCAGTCAGGAAAGTGTCACCGGACATTATTTCATCTTCATCTGTGCTTTGTGTGATGTGCTTGTTACCGTGTAGGAGGTGGAGGCCTGCTCTTCCTCCCGGCTCTCCTGCCGTGCCTCCACGTGGCAGGAGAGCAGGTGCTCCTGCAGCTTGAGCTGAGAGCAGCAGAGCGTGGAGCAGAGGGAGCACCTGAATGCCTCACTGCTGATGTTCTCCTGCATGTCCTCATCTCCACCCAGCACAGCCACAGAGCCTGCAGGACAGACAGTCAGGGTCAGTGAAAACAGCCCAGGAGCTGCTGCTAAACCACGAACTGCCTCTCTAAGACCCAACACAGGACAACACAACCATCCACTTACCCAGGTCACAGGGGCCTGGAGCCTGGGTCACACTGATTGTTTATTGTGAACGTTTTCAATAAAAGGCAGCAAGCGGAGGCCGTCGTCGGGGTCATTGTGTGGTGGACACCGACGACGGCCTCCCTTGCATGAATGAATGAGTCTCTAAACCGGCGGGGCTCATGGAAACACAGACCCAACACCAGCTATCTGAATCATATCTGTTATTAACCTCTGTCTCTCTTCCACAGCATGTCTTTATCCTGTCTTCCTTCTCTCACCCCAACC